ACAAATCGACGACGCTGTGCGTTTTTTTTTTTTAAAGGCAGTGTACTGTACTCACCGCAGAAAACTTTAGCGACACGACCGCATCCTACGGTAGCTGTGCCACACGCCCTACCGCATTTGCCTTTTACTTCCGTTCGAAATAAATTTCGTTCCGATGACGTCAACGCACGGAATCGGAAGAAAAAAACTGATGACGTACACCCACGTACGTCATCGGAATGGGAAAGGGTTCACACGTTCTCTAGCCTGCGCGTGCCTCTTCATTCCCGTCCCTCAATGTAGCTCCCTAGCGCTCGCCTCTCGCTTGCTTCTTAACACGCTTTTCAGCTTTTGTTCCATTTTTCTCCGATAAGAGTTATGGCCCGGTTCTCAATTACGACGAGGTCGCAGCTCGACCTGCCAGCTTGGCTCGACTCGGCTCCATCGCTCCTCCAGGGTGGGTAAAACGAGAACTACACGGTGACGCGCACGAGTCCGGCAGACGATCAGACAAACGTCTCGGCGCGCGCGCGTGTGTGTGCGCGCACGCGCGTCAACGGGTTGGTGAAACGTATTCCATTGTCTTCTCGAGCAGAGACCCTATATAGCCAAGGTCACGCATTCCAAATGTTTTGTCGGGATGAGAGTCTGGTCCCATGGGTTTGGCGGGAAATCAAATCCTTGCCATACGAACGTGGAATCTATAGAGGGTGCTGCCCGAACAGATGAAGATCGTCTGGTGCTCGTCTGCTCACCCAACTTTTTCACGCTATTATTGTTTTAAAGTACGTGCTTGTGAAGTTGCTTCAAATTAGCATTTTCGTTCGGTTTACAGACTGCTTGTGAATGAATAATTGAGCGGCTCCAGATTTGATAGTTAATAATTGATGCCTGCGTTGAACAACTCAACTCTCGTACGAAATGTGAACGTGTAAAAAATTTTTGACGAAGGCAAAATAATAATTTGCTCATGACAATTGCGATTTTATTTGGGCGGCACGTTGACTGGCGCCACTGCCCCGGCATCGATAGCTTTGCCTTCGACCTAAACCCAAAAATGATTATCGGTTAAAATGAATACAACGTTCAATTTATTTGCCAACGGAGTTTACGCAATAATAATTTCAACCCGTAGCGCAGTATCTGCACTCGAAGATGGAGAACGACTCAGAGGTGCGAGGAGGCAGCAGCCCACGCGATGAGCCGCCACCAAATTTCCTCCCCAAGCTCTGTGGTCCTCTCTATATCAAGGTGTTTCCGGTAAATTTTACCGAGTGTTTATACACGCTGGAGGAAACCGGAGGACTCGGGGAAAAAGCCACTCGTGCGATGGGTGGGGAGGGGGGCAACACTTTCTCCCCCGGTAACCCGCTTGCTGTACTGCCGTCTGTTGGAGGGTATGGCGACTTCGAAGCCCATGGGAAGGGGAGATTCGCGTCATCGTTTGTGCGATCCACCAAGCCTCGCCGCATCCACAGTGCCGGATCACAGGCGGGCGCGCAGTCACACCGCTCGGCTCGTGCACAAGGGCAACCATGGATATAATGCTGGGTTCCGCAGTGGCGAGATGTTAACTACCTCGCCTGGTATACAGGAGATCGAGGGATCAATCACGACCCTGACGCCTGTATATTTGGAGTTTGCATGTTCTCCCCGTGGATTTTTCTCCGGATCCTCCGTTTTTTCCCTCCTCAGTTAGAAACACGCGTTTAGAGTATTTGGCTACTGTACATTTCCACGTGACGAGCCACTTCGTTGAACTATCATTTGTGGCCAGGTTGCTTCTGAAAAATAACTATATAGCTCAGCGGGCCTTACTTGGTAATAAAAAATAAAAAAGATAAATATATTTTACAGCACTGAGCAGAAGGAGCTTAACTCTTATCAAAATCGAATGGTTTATACTTCATTCATAGATTATTTGAAGGAAATTTTTTATATATATTTACACACCCACACTCTCCACAGTAGCTCAGCCTAGCCTGTACACAACACTGGCCATCTAACACTGACGGCGCTGACTGAAATAGCCAACTGCTCTCCTTCGTAGCGCAATATCTAGCGGAGACGTTTAGTGACGACGGCGATGGGACGACAGCGAAAACGAGACCGGCAGCCCCGAGCCCCCCGCTCTCCGCTCCTTTTATGCTCCCAGCAGCGAGGCCTGGCTCCACCCTGACCACGCCTCCCTTCTGGAACCCGCTAGCAGGTTCCAGGGGCCTCCAGACGGGGTCCTCCATGACCCTTGCCCTAGTTCATCCACTCTGCCAACACCACACCATGCACAGCCTCACCGGCGTGTGTGCTGTCTGTACACCACAGTTGCCGCTGCTATCCACCAGCCGGCACTATTACACTACACTTGTAAGGAATATCGCACCCGTGACTTGACGAATTGTTTCAGAGTGCAGATTTTTTTTTTTTTGCCCAGGGGGCCCCTGGTGGCAATAGTAGGCTGGGCATGTCTGTTACTCAAAAATATTCATGCAGGACTTCGGACAAACCTGAAAATCAGCTTCTGTGATATAGTCACCAACAACACCTGCCATCCGAAAGTTCATTTCTGAATTTGGTACGACTGTTATCTCCAGATTATAAGTAGCACTTCCCCCCCTTCCTCCCAGAATGTTAAAGCAAAAGTTGGTCGTGCGTCTTAGAATCCAGTAGGTGTGTGTATGTTTGTGTATGTGGGGGAGCGGTGGTGTTGCGGTTCACGCGCTACGCTACGAACCCGGCGACCCGAGTTCGATTACCGCTCACGGCCAATACCAGTGACAATAACCTGAACCTGTCCTGGGCATCGCCTAGGTCGACTCAGCTTCACGACCAACTTTTGCTTTAACATTCATGTGTAAACATCGCCACTGGGGAGGCAAAGGCGGCCGGGCGTGGTGTTGGGCACCCACCCCCTCATGTGCAGTGCCAGCCTTCATAGGTGCTCGCTAACAGCACTTTCCCCAACAGTCTGTTAAGGATATACGGCGGATCTTTGTCTTTGTGTGGGGAACGGTGGTGCAATGGTGAGCACTCTGCGCTACTAACCCGTCGATCAGAGTTAAATTCCCGCTCACGACGAATAATAATGGTGAATCCTGGGCCTCCCCCTAGGTCGACTCAGCTTCAAATGAGTACCTGGAGCGGTGTCTAAACACCACCACTGGGGGAGACAAAGGCGGTCGGGCGTGGGGCTGGCCTCACAGCTCCTTCGCGTGCCGTTGCGGCCTTCATGGGTGCTCGCTTAGTAGTACTTGCCCCCAAAAAGTCCGTTAGGGTTATTTACGGGGAATGGGGGGGGGGGAATCTTTGCCTTTTGAGTGCGTGACCAGAAATTAGTACAAATTTGTACAACTTTATCGACGCCGGGCACACGTTCGTGGGGCGCCTCCGTTTTACTTCCCCGCAGTGTCCCAAGGATCCTGAGAATACGGTCAACTTTTTTCAAGCACGTGCTTAAAATTTAATGTCGAGAGAGAAAAAAAACTGGCGCCGAATTAGGAAGTGGTTTGGACAGTAATTTCGAGTGGGGTGGCCAGCTGCACCGCCAGGGTTTCACCTAATTTTTGCTTTTCCTAACCCCTTGGCCCCGCCAGCTGTGAGCTATTTAAACGCAGACTTCCACAAAGGCGTTTCGCCGATTTGCTTTACTTTCTGAAGCTTCAACGAGAAACAGATGACGTCTGCGGCGAGCCCTTTTGCTCCGACTACTGCTGGTTGAGAATATTATTTTCATGGAGGCGTCGTCTTCCCAGGGTGGGGAAGACAACGCAAATTGTCAAACAACTCGCCGCGTGCGCATCGGTACAATTGGAATTAGCGGGGTGGCACGGCAACGGTCAACGGAGCTGACATCAGAGAAGTAAACGCCAAAAGAAATGTTATTGTGCACGCGCCAAGCTGACGGATAACGTACACAAAATACATATTTAAAAAAATAAATGTTAGAAAATATAAACTGACTGACTCATCGATTGACTGCGCGAGTGACTGAAGTTTAGCGATCGCTCTGGAAGGGATAGAAAGTTGAAGTTTAAAATGTTTAGTTGAGTCTATGCTTGCGGTATACGAACCTCCGATTTTTTTTTGTTTGGGACGTAAAAGAGTCGGCCGCCCAAGTTAAAAAAGTCAGCCCTCCAACTTCTCAATTGCTTTCAGTCTCGAGCTAAACACTTCCAAATATAGGATCTCACCAATCGGTGAGAACCAGGTAAGTCACCTCCTGTGGGATTTAACGCAAAAAATACTAAGTGGATGTAGCCCAATACTGTAGGCTACGAGTTACAACTGTGCTCACCCTGCACCTAAGATTAGCATGGTTGGCTACGTACGGCACAAAAGAAGTTCAACATATGATAATTGTTTTTTTACCCTTCTATCTGGCAACAAAACTGACAAGGAGTCATGTTTGCATAGACCGCAATACCTGCAGTCATAATACAAACAAAAGAACATAACTCTGATAATGTGCACTGTCCTTGAAGTTGATTGGTCCACACCCGAGACAGCTTTCCTTAGAGCCTAGTCTCACATGGGTTGGACCAGATGACGCCAAAAGGCGCACGACTCAAAGACAATGCACCATCAGAGTAAGAGAGCTCGGGGTAAGCATTTACACCATTGGAACCTCATTTTCCAGCAAAAAATATGATAATTGGGTTTTTACCCTTCTATCTGGCAACATCATCACAATGACAGCATGGCGCCAACAGCCTACGGTACAATTATGAGACGATATCGCAGCAACCACACTGTTCAACATACAACAAACATGCAACAATAGCATTATTATAAATCCAAGGGGTGGAGCGGTTGTCACGATGGTTAGCACACCGGGGTTAAGAACCGGGCGAACGAGAGTTCGATTCCCAAACACTGCGAACATCAGTGGCCAGTGATATCTGAACAGGTGCCCCATCCCTTGACCAACTCACAATGAGCAGCGTGGTAAAAAATGGGGAGCATTTTCGTTTGGCAGTTGTTTGACAAAAAGGCTGAGAAATGTTGTATTTGCGAGGCGTACTGACCAGTCGCACGCCTCTTGAACACCATGGTCGCCTGTTGAAGCAAGAGCCTTGAGCCTGAAATGCAAGATGCACACGCATGCATACCTGTAAGTCAACTGTTTAAGCGATGCCACCCACACAATGCAGCCTTAAAATCCGGCGTGCCCACAAAGACAAACATTCCACTCCGCACCCCCCCATAGCCTTCAACGGACGGTTGGCAAAAATGCGAGCACCTAACGAAGGCTCGCAGGCCTGCACAGCGAGCGAGGAGGTGCAGTTGCTCAACACCACGTCTCCCCCGCGCTGATGTGTAACACGCAGCGCAAGCAGGTACGCATTTAAGGGGTGCCTGGTGCGGTGTGTAAACATTTGGCCTTGTGCCATGTGACGGGAAGCTACGAAGATCAGACCTTGCGAAATATGTGTGTTTGTGTCTGGCTATCTGTGTATGTGTACACATACAAAGATCCCCCCCCCCCACCCCTCCATAAAGCCTGAACAGACTGTTGGGGTAAGTTCTGTTAGTGAGCACCTATGAAGGCCGGCACGGCACACAGTGGCAATGTTTACACACCACATCAGGACCTCGTTTTAAGGCTGAGTCGACCTAGGGGAGAGGCCACAGGACCTGTTCAAATATTCGCCACTCTTATTGGTCGTGAGTGGGAATCGAAAACCAGGTTGCCAGGTTCGTAGAGCAGTGTGCTAACCATCGCGCCACCGCTCCCCACTTACAAATGCCCAAAACACAGATCAAAGATCTCTTGAATAGCCTTAACAGACTGTTGGGGCAAGTGGCGTTAGCGAGCAGCTTATGAAGGCCGGCACGGCACTTCTTAAACACGTTACAGAAGGGACGTGCATGTGTATATGTAAACAAGCGAGAGGAAAAGATCCGCTTGGATTCTGTGACGCTTTCCAAGCGCGCCTTGGATTCACGAGGAGTATGTGCACGGTCCTTAGCGGTGTTCAAGTCGACAGGCAGCTGCTGGGGCAGAGCAAGTCTGCATAGTTGCAAACATGACCTTGTTTCTCTCTCTGGTGTATTTCTGCAGATAACACTTGTCAACAAAAAAAAAAAAATTCTGGCCTGGACTTTTGCAGCTGTTTTAGACTAATTTCAGGGTGCTGATTCCAAATCTGATCTCAGATTTGCTCTATCACATCATTTTTATGCTATCGGCATACCCCATTTTCATTGATTTTACCCGAAATTAACTCTGTCACTTATGATTGCAAGTTGTTGCGAGTCAGTGACTGCTTTAGTGTTACAATATGGTGCTGTATTTTTAGGATAGTGTGTTTATAATATCATTTTATGTAGATATCCACACTCATTTTTCTTCGGCAGTTTTGATTGAAAATGCAATATTTGATATCTCAAAAACCTGATGTGATAGACAAAAACTGATGCCAGATTTGGAATCCGCACCCCAAAATTACCTTAAACCCGTTAGAATACCTTATGCTAGAAAAAGTGTGTTGACCAGTGTTATAGGCAAGAACCCTTTCGATCAATGTGGCCGGCTCTCTGAAGGATAAGTCGCAGAATAACAACGGCGGTCTTTTGGCTCCCAACGTTTGGCGTCCCCCGCCCCCCGCCACCGTTACAGATGGGCAGAGCCAAAGCAGGAACGCGACGAACGCTTCCAAACCTTAAGTTGGCAAGCGAGAAGAGGAAGAAAAATAGCGACCACACAAATAAACGGTGCGCGCTCAAGCAAAAGGCTAAAAAGAAAAACACTTGTTTTTTGCTCTCACAAAAGAAAGTCTGTTTGCCAAATTGTTATCCGACTTTTAAACGTGCAGAAAAAAACACAACCCCGTTTCTGGCAATGATTTACAACATCCCCCTCCCCCGCCCCCATCTTCCAGCACCGCCTCATAGTGATTTTGCAGATCGGAAGTCGACTGCGGAGGAGATGTGCAACTCTGTGTGTGTGTGAGCGCAAGCGTGACCGGCACCGCACGCGGAAAAAAACCGTGAGTGACCTCAAGCTGCACCAATTATATTATTCTGGCGCAACTCCCCACCCCACGCCACCGCCACCATCGCTCTCCTGACCCTCCCCGGTCTCCCCGCTCTCCTCCCTTCTCTCCTTCGCCATCCCCCCGGCCACCATCGTGCCCTCAGCGACCTTCCTTCCACTTCCCAGCCTCCCCGCTTTCCGAAAGCAGTTAACCCCGGCTATCGAGGCACATCTGCTTAAATTGTTATCGTGGTGCGTTCGCTGGAAAACGCAGGCCTGCAGGCAAAGACAAAGATTACCCCCCCCCCCCTCCCATGTATAGCCTCAATAGACTTTTGGGGCAAGCGCTGTTAGCGAGCACCTATGAAGGCCGGCCACGGCACACGCGAGCGGTGGGTGGCCAGCACCACGCCAGGCGTGGCGATATTTGCCACTCCGCGCCGGTTACTCATTTGAGGCCGAGTCGACCTGGGGGAGGCCCAGGACTGGTTCAGCTATTCGTCACCCACAGAGAGACGGCCCCGGGCACGTTCGCTGCTGCCAAAGGAGGGAGAGCGAAAGACGCCCCATGAATGGGGCTGGCGCCCGTTCGCACGCACACGGGAGGGAGAGACAGCGCACACACATGGGAGGGAGAGAGTGCACACACACACATGGGAGGGAGAGAGTTCTACATAAAGCTAAGTTTAAAAATGTAAAAAAATTACGAAATGATGAACGAAGCAAAGTGTCGAATACACCGAGCATCTTCTTGTTTCCACTGATCGTAAAAAAAAAGAGAGTGCACACACACACGGGATGGAGAGACAGCACACACACACACATGGGAGGGAGAGAGTGCACACACACACACATGGGAGGGAGAGAGTGCACACACACACACACACGGGATGGAGAGACAGCGCACACACACACACATGGGAGGGAGAGGGATAAGAGAAGAGCACGCACGAGAGAGCAGAGAGTGCGAGAGAGAGAGAGCGAGCCGAGCGCTTTCTGGGTCAAACAGGGTAGGGAGAAGCAGGCAACGGCAGCCAGCGCATGCCAGAGAAATCACATAACCGCAGTAGGAAGTCCGCTGTCAAGAGGAGGAGGAGGGCTCCGAGAGAGACTACTGCACTTAGCGAACGGCATATGCGCTCAGTGTTATGTTATTGCCGCCGCAAAGCGTGCGCGGGGCATAAGGCGAAAGGATTGCAGTGGGGGCAGAGCCGCGTGCCGCATAATTTATGTAGCGTCCGTTCCCGTAAATGTATCACGCCTGGTTCCTCGCGGATTGGAATAACTGCTCATCCACGGTTTGAAGGGCGATGACACTTTTCTGCTTGGTGATAGTGCAACAAAGATAGCGATCTCCCTCCCCTCCTCGCCATCCCCTGGCATACCACGTAGCCTGTTGATGAAAGTGCACTTAAGCGAGCACCTATTAAGGCCCGCTGGCTGCAGAGTGCTGAATGGGGGTGGCTGTGTACGCATGTGCCCCAGCAGTCTGTTAATGCTGTACGGGGGATCTTTGTTCTTGGTGGAGGGCGGCGTTGCGCTACGATCCCGGCAACCCGAGTTCGATTCCTGCTCACGGCCAACACCGGCGGAAAATTTTTTAACCGGTCCTCTGGGCCTCCCCTAGGTAGACTCAGCCTCAAACGAGTGTGATGTGTAGGCGTCGCCTACACATCACACTCACAAATAAACATAATAAAATAATTCTCAGAAAATAATTTTATTATGTTTTATTTTTATTATTTTATTATTTCCATTCTACGTGACTTAATAATAAAATAATAAAAATTAAGCATAATAAAATAATTCTCAGATAATTATTTTATTATGTTTTATTTTTATTATTTTATTATTTCCATTCTACGTGACTTTACAGAAAGAACTAAGAAGATGAATCCCTGCAGTCACGAAAGCTTTAAATCGAAATCCTCTGAATTGTGCAAATGTGTCACGGCCAAATGTTCATTTTCCTTGACGCGTTCTTAAAATCCAACTTTCTAACTGATGCAGTCACACGGCCATTAGCTATGCCCCAAGCATCCGTCTCTTGACAGTAAAGATGACATATCTGCGATTAGCATTTAAAGGGATAAGCAAACCGAAACCCAAATACCGCATCACTTATCTTGAAGAGACATGCATAGGCTGTGCCCTGGTCTGTCTGGCATGAGTTTCAATGTTCATTTATTGAAAGAAAAAAGACCGATCCATTCAGGGCTTTTGAGGTGAGGGTTTGTGGATTGCACCATTTTCAAACTCCCAAACCCGACGGGCTGAGAGATGGTCAGGAGATGGCAGTACAGCAAAGTGGACTGAATCCACCTGTCCAGAGCTCTTGGTGTTATCCTCTCATGTGCATGGGGTTTCTCCAGAAAGTCTGGTTTTCCTCCCACGTGAATCCTTGCAAGCACTCATGAATAGAACGGGCCAAACATCACAATGCAGGACTTTCCTGGAAAATACCCAAAGAGACTCCGCTAAGCTTTAATAAAAAAAAATTTACATTATTATTATTGCTCTTCCCAAGTTCCAAATGAATAAGTTATCCCATGAGCGAACACCAATACCACTTCCCGAAATAAAAATCGGATTACGTTTAAAAAAAAATAGACTATCGTAGAGATACTCTTAGTTCTTTCGGTAAAGTCACGTAGGTAAAAAATGAAATAAAAATTAATAAAAATAAAACAATAAAAAAGAAAAAATCACGACGTTTCGAAACGTCGTGATTTTTTTTTTTTTTTTTTATAAATTTTAATTTAATTTTTTACCTACGTGACTTTACCGAAAGAACTAAGAGTATGAATCCTTGCAGTCACGAAAGCTTCAAATCTAGAATATCGTAGAAATAATAAGCATCAAAGTATTTTCGTATTTCTGTGCTGTGGACCCCCCCCCTCTCTCTCCTCCTCCGACGTTCAAAACAGGAAGGGAGCTTCCAGGTAAGGAAGCAGGCGGGCGAAGGCACAGCGGCCGCGTGAGCGGGGTGGCCCAACAAGACCACCACAACGTTCATCGCAAACGAGAAGTAAACAAAGACACGGACAAACATCCCGCCCCTCCTCCCCCCATATCGCCTTGACGAACTTTTGGGGCAAGTGC